GGCAGGTTAACCCAGGGTTTTAGGTGAATACACCAGGCTTCCAAGCCGTGGGTCGATACCCAATTACAAGGGTCCTTTCAAACTCTTTGTTGCGTTGCACAAAGAGCCCCCAAGTAACTTTGTGAGCTGTGCTCAATGGGTGCCTATGTTTGAGTTGTGCTTTAGCAACAATACTCTCTTTGGCCCCTTGGGTGTGAAGCTCCCAAGCTTTGTTGTGGCATGATAGCCGGATTAATGGACAGAACTCCGCTTTGTAAGCTGAAGCCCCCATGTAAAAAATAATATGATAAGCCAATAAGGCGGGATACCCATGTTTGAACCGCGCGTTAGAGCAGCAGGTCCTCTTTGGCAACCTTTAACTTTTTGCAAGAGATAAATTCTTCTTGAACTGGTATTTTGACCCGGCTATCAAGAGCTTCAAAGCTTGGTGGGAGATAACTTTCCCTTAAACCGGATATTAAACCGGAATCCCTCTTTTTAAGCCAGAAATTTTCTGACGGCCTTAAAATTTGCACCAATATGGCGGTTTTAAGGTCTTGCATTTAGATAACCTTGCAAGCTGGAGTGATTTCTCTTTTTAAAGAAAAAAATATAAAATATATACTGGATGGATTTCATCTGATATGTCAGGTAGTAAATTATCCACCGCAGAGCTGATCATCACCATGGTGAAGGTATGTATCCATCGAGCATCATGACACGGACAAGCGCTAGTACAAAAGAATATTGGTACGTGCTCCGTATCCGTGTTATAACATTACTTTCGTCACAAATAACTATCCTGCATAAACATTGCAAGACAGAGTAACTGTACGAAGCATATTATTGTACACAGATGAAATAGATAGGACATGATCACCTGATATATTTTTCGAAGGTAGTAACTGTTGACCGAGTGAAAGCCTTCACGTCCAATCAACTAACCACTTATCCATGAAATTTTGAAAAGGGTCGTTCCCATCAATCAAGCACACTTAGCTCAGACCGTGAATCCTTTAGCTTGTTTCGTTGTGTGAGAGCTTGCTCCCTCCCACTTTTGGCATGATTTGCTTTTTGATGTGGCATGCATACACTTTTTTCGAGGGTGCGCCAATGGCGTACCTTAGCTTTATAGAAGGAAGAAAAATATGTACAAGAGATTACACATCGCTAGCTAGGAGTCACAAACCGACCCTAACCAAGCCTCCACACCACTCCCTAGCTCTACTCGACTACTCTATGATCAGTTGTCCTCCGAAAGCTCCTGCTTTGGCCCAAGTCCTCAACTCATCGAAGATAGAGTCTACCGTATCCCACTCGTTCTTGATTATGCCCGTGCCGAATACCCTTGCATTCCTTTGCTTCCATATCGTCCAACAGATTAGCATCACGAGGGTGTCAAAGCCTTTCCGAGACTGCTTATCCATTCGCTTTCTCGTATCCGTCCACCACTGCACCAATCTTGAGTCATTTGTTGGGCATATGTAGGCCGTCAAACCCATCCTAGTGGTGCAGCGGAACCACACTTGCCGCGAGAACACACACTGCAGCAAAATGTGGTCGACTGTATCCTCCTCCTAGTCACACATGTAACATTTTGAAGCTTGGTCTTGCAATCCGTGCCTAGCTCTCCTGTACGAGGTCCATAAACGATATTGCACCGCAAGCCACATGAATAGCTTGCACGCAAGCGGTGCCCAACACTTCCATATGGCTCCGAAGCAGTGGAATCTGACTCCTTCCTCGCATAGCATCTTGTACGCAGATGATGCCGTGTAGACTCCGGACGTGTTCCAAGCCTAGATGGGGCAGTCCTCGACCTGAGCGTCCAAATGAACTTCCAAGAGGATCTCCCAGAGGCCGATGAACTGGGCGAGACCCTCAGTGCATAGGTCACCCACTACATCATCCATCCATGAATGCATGCACATCGCATCTCGCACAAGTCTCCTGTTTGCCACTTGTGTCTGCACCTTTGCCACAACGAAGGGTGCAAAATATTTAATAGCTGCTCCATGTATCCATCGGTCTTTCCAGAACAAGGTCTTGCCTCCTGAACCAACTTCCCATTTGACAAGGCTTCCAAAAGCTTGATCCACCTTTTTGTCCGAGGTCAGGTTGAGGCCTTGCCACGGCCTGGAATCATCAGTGCGTCTGAGCCATTCCCATCTGAGTCTTAAAGCGATACCGTTCTTAGCCAGGTCAATGACACCCAAGCCTCCCAAGTGTTTAGGCCTGCACACTCTAGCCCAGGAGACGACACATTTGCCTCCATTCACCGCCTCGGTTCCGGCCCAGAAAAATACCCGACACCCCTTATCCACTCTCTCCAGAGCCCATTTAGGTGCCTCCGCTATCACGAGATGATGTGTAGCGCGTGCCCTCATTACTTGATTGACAAGAATGAGCCTCCCCAGCCTCGTCACGAGACCCCTTTGCCATCCTGGTAGGATGTGGAGAGCCATGTCAACAATTGGCTGCCACTCTGACCTTTTGAGTTGCCTGATGCTAAGCTGGAGCCCAAGGTATTTGCATGGAAAGGTGTCGATTCTCCATGGTAGTGCAGACTTAACAAGCTCTTCATCCTCATTTTCTTCTCTGATCAAGATTGCCGCAGATTTGGAATAGTTGACTTTGAGCCCAGATGCCACTCCGAATATAGCAAGGATTTCTTTAACGCACATGAGGTCTGGCCATGTTGGTTTTATGAAGAGCACCACATCATCAGCATACAGGGACAAGCGCTGCATTGGGCTACATCCATTGATAGTACTAAGCACTCATGCCTCATGCGCCTTGGAGATGATGGCCGTAAGCACGTCCATGGCAATAACATACAGCAAGGGAGATATCGAGTCCCCTTGTCTTAGTACTTTAGCATGCATGAACTTGTCACCAGCACATCCATTCACCAGCACCCTCGAGCTAGCGGTGGTGAGGAAGATCGCAATCCAAGAGATCCAGCGCTCCGAGAAGCCCTTGGCTCTTAACACCTCAAACAGAAACAGCCACGCCAGCGAATCAAAAGCTTTGATTATGTCAAGCTTGAGCATCACTCCCTTGGCTTTCCTCCTATGCATCGTGCGCGCCATTTGCCGAACCAAGAGAAAGTTATCATGCAAGCATCTGCCCTTAATGAATGCGGACTAGTTCATCTGTACTAGCTCTCCCATGTGCGGTCTTAGCCTGGCAGTCAACAGCTTGGAAGCTATCTTGGGCATACTGTGCACAAGGCAAATAGGTCGGAAGTCAAACACCGCGCAAGCATCCGGTGTCTTCAAAATCAGGGTGATCAGAGCTTGGTTGAGCCTTCCAAAACCCCTTCCATTGCCAAGGAAAAACTTGTGAATCGCAGCAACAAGATCCATCTTGATAATCTCCCACGCCTTTTGGAAGAAAATGCCAATGAACCCGTCCGGCCCAGGTGCTTTATCCGAAGGCATATCCTTGATAACTGCCCAGATCTCATCCTCAGTGAACACGCGATCTTGGTCCGAAAGATCAATGGCCATGACACCAAGCCCCTCCAAATCAAGTGTGAAATCTCGGGCTCTATCCTTGCCTAGCAGGTCCTTGTAATTTTGTAGAAGGCTTCTTCCTTGCCTTTCTGATCCGTGATGATGCACCCATCCATGGTCAAGGAAGGAATGCAGTTTTTCATACGTCTCCCATTCGCTACCAGGTGGAACAACTGCGTGTTAGCATCCCCTTCTTGAAGCCATGTAATTCTTGACCTCTGTCGCGCAATGGTCCTCTCTAGGGACGCCAGCCCAAGTACAAGCTGTTTTAGGGTTCGTCTAAGCCATCTCTCTTCCTCAGTCAGATTACGACTCTCCTGAGCGCAATCAAACCGCATGATGACTAGGTTCGTAATAGCAATTTGCAGCTTTATGTTCCCGATCTCCTTCTGCCCCCATGTAGCAAGCGCTCGTGCTGTGTTTCGTAGCATGATGTCTAAGCGCAAGAATGGGTCTGTGATATCCGGATCACAGACCCAGGCCTCCTTGACTACATCCAAAAATCCATCCATTTTGACCCAGAACTTTTCAAAACGGAACCTCCTTCTGGCATGCATGTGCTCCTCAGGAGCAAGATGGAGTGGCCAATGATCGGAGTGCTCGGTAGATAGTGCTTGCAGCAAGCACTCCGGATGGTCAAGCTCCCAATCTACGGAAACAAAAGCACGGTCGATATTTGTGAGCGTGGGTGTCTCCCTTTCATTGCTCCACGTGAATTTGCGTCCATGCAAAAAGAGCTCCTTGAGCGCGTTATCATCCACAAAGCGCTTGAACTTCCCCATCATTCTCCTGTCCAAGTTAGAGTTGTTTTTGTCTGTCGCATAAAGGATGAGGTTGAAATCTCCCAAGACGAGCCATGGCCCTGGACATAGGGATCTACGCTCCGAAAGCTCATTGAGGAAGTTAATTTTGCGCTCATCTTCTTGAGGCCCATATACTACTGTGAGCCACCACGGCTCTCCCTCCTTGGGCGAGACGTACGCCGAAATGCTATGGGAGTCATTGACATAATTCGACAAGAGGACCCGTGTGATGTCCCATGCCACAAAGATACCGCCTCTCGTGTCCGACGCCGGTAAGTAAGTGAAACCATCATAGTTCGACCCCATGCATTGCAGGATTACAAAGGTGTCCACCACCTCAAGTTTAGTTTCTAGGATACAAACAATCGCCGCGCGAGTGGAATCCACAAAACCCCTAAGCGCCTTCCTTTTGGCCGGACCGTTAAGGCCTCTAACATTCCAACACACTAACTCCAAAGCGTTGAACGACATTGGAACGAAATGCCTCCAACACCACCGGCACCAACGTGCCTACTGCGCCGAGATCGGCTCTGCCATCCCTGTCTCCTCTGCGAGGTTGAGCGGTATCGCCTTCCCGAAGATAGCCGCAATGGCCCTCAACTGCGGCTCCTGGAGTCAGTGGCGGACCTAGCCCACTGGGCCAGGGTGGGCCAATAGTGTAATTTACATATATATTTATCTTTTCTTCTATTTTTGGCCTTTATGCTACAGTACTATAGAGGCTATTTCCATATCTTAGGGTGGGCCATGGCCCACCCTGTCCATCCCCTACCTCCGCCACTGCCTGGAGTGGTGAGTCGAAGACTGTACGGAGCTGACTTAGTGCATCTTCCGAGACTGCCAGATCATCACAATCCAGACTCAAGGTTCTAAGCAGCACCGTTTCAGCTGCCGAGGCCTTTGTCTTCCTAGAGCTACTTGCACAGACGTACCGAGTTGTGCAGCATGGGGTGAACGGGTCATGTCCTGGTTTGACCCCTCGCAGACCTTCAAACTCCTTGAGAAGCGGCGGTGCAAGTTTTTTAAGCAATCCAGCGCAAAACGCCTTGATGTTCCCAAGCGCTGCAATTTCTTTCACAGATAGATTATCCTCACGGCGCTGTACAGTAATTGCACCAGCATCAATATCATTGCCACCATGCAACGCCTCTTGCATGCATGCATGTGGCGCGGTCACATTGGCCCTCTCAAAACCAGCACCAGCCTCCTGTATACTGGGACCCGGATCCACCAAATCAGCTGAAGGCTTGTCAATCCTCTCCGTTGTCGCTAGCTGCAGCTCTTCCAAGACCGATGGCAATCCCTGTGCGGTTTTGTCTGGCAGCGGATCCAGTGGGGCCTCCTCCACGGCAGCGGATTGGGCGCTGGCGACCCGCACCGAAACGGCTGTGGATGGGAAGGCGGGATTTGAATCCCCAAAAGCCGCCTCCTGGCACGTCTTATCCTGCGCATGGTCATCCTCCATGGGATCCGCAAATCACGCTGTCAATCACCCGTTGCGAGTTATCTCCACATAATAGCTTATTATTGGCATCCCCACCTCCAACCTTGTATTTTAATCACCAGGCCTCCTGCCACTTGAACCCGTTATCTCCACAGAATAACACCATAGCTCAACACAGATCGGTGGGGCAACAATTAGAAGATGGGTCACATTGGCTGAGCCCGTAGCAGAAAAGGTGAACCGGCGGAAGTCAGAACTGTTCACTGGAGACTCGCGGCTACTCAAGACGGTTCAGGAAGCGGAGATGGGCCGGCGTCCAACGTAGTGACCCAGGGCATCATGAGGAAAAAACGGCGACAGCGGTTCAAAGTCGCGGTAATGCATGACGGAGCCAGTGCAGGGGTCGCCGGCGGGTTGATGCGGGTGGTGACTCACAATGAGGCTGTGAAGGCAACGGCATAGCCGGGTTAAGGCAGCAGGGCACCAGGCGGAATGACGCACGGACATGGCCGGTTCAACGTAGGAAGCGGCTGTATCTCAAGACGGTTCGCGGACATGGCGATTTGAAGATGGTAGCTCGGGGGTGCCGACTCAAAGCAATGAGGATGTGTCAAATTGATCAGGCGTCGTTTCAACACCAGGACTGTGTCTCCACGCACACGGAGGCGACTCAATCAGGAGCAATAACAGGTTGCTGCTGCGGCGAAGGCAGCAGATGTGGCTCGGATGGCTAGGGAGCCGACGGTCCGTCGGCGGCGACCCAACCACGGCAGGGACGGTGACAACCCGTGCGACGGCAGCGGGTTATGGCAGCGGAAAGGTATGGTGGCTTAATGCGCCAAAGTGGACACGGCAGCGCCGGTTCTGTAGCGGCAATAACCCGGCGCCAGTCTTCAACAGCAAAGGAGGCCGAGGAAGGCCCGACGCGTCTAAAGAAGTGGCGAATTATGGCAAACGGCTCAGAGGAGGCTTCCATAAACTCCCGGTGCTCCACCATGGAGAAGACACCCATCTCATGCACCTCCGTCCTGGATCACTACTACTAGATCGATTTTGTCTCTGCAAACATCAATGTTAAGCTCCTCCTGGATAACTAATTCCCGTGGTCTTTATGAATCACTACTACTAGATCGATTTTGTCTCTGTCTTGACACGCCCATGTGAAGCGGCAACCTGACAACCGGTATGCAGGGGCACATGCCACGGGAGTTGCACACATTTTACTAATAGCAGAACTAGTACTCCGTGTTGATAAAAAGGCCAGCGACGGCCGGTTTAGGCCGGTCATAGTGAGGAGTAACTTATACTAGTGTCATGCATATGACACTAGTCTAAGTTACTACCTCCATAGTGCAAAGTATCTTAGTAGTAGTGTCATAGATTGTTTCATTTATTGCCTTATAGACTCATTTTGCCTCGGGAAGCGCTATGTTACAATAACATATTATGTTACTCCAAACACCTCTCTCCTCATTAAACACTTGCCACATAAGCAAAATTGTCTTGGGATGTGTTAAGTTACTATCTAAGTTACCCCCACTATGGCTAGACTTAGCGGAGGATTGATGCGAGGCAAAACCGGGTTGCGGCGCGGTCGGCTCGAGGTCGTCTCTAAGGTGATGGCGAGGCCGAGTCAGTACCGGGGCGCAGCTGTCCAAAGCCCTGTTTATTTGATGACGCCCAATCAGACTCTTGTCCGGTCTAGTTTGCAGTAGGAAAAAGGGATTTGCGCTCGGATTTGACGGGGCGCCCTGCAACACACGAGGCACCGCACGCAAAACCAAAAAATCCCTATGAATCTTAATCTCATATCCTCCGCCGCAAAACGCTTCGTCAATCTTTGCTGATTAACTCATTATTGATGTGAATTTCCCCGCCGATTTTTGTTGAACCAGCGGGTCGTAGCTTCTCGAACCCTAAAGAGAACCCTTCAAGAACGCAACACCATCGTGCGCAGGCCCCACGGTGGGCGCCAACTATCATGGAATTAACACGTCAGATGTCCTTAGTGTGAGACTTAGTCGTGAGGCCAACACATCTATGTGGTAGCTTGAGAGGGGTTGAGCGGAATCGAGAGACGCAACACAAGACAAGGGTTTAGACAGCTTCGGGCCCCGGGAAACATCATCCGGTAACAACCCTACATGCTGTTTGAGGCTAGATCTCATTATCATCACAAGGGAGTCGCCGTAAACCGCGGGGTATATCCCCGACACCTACCCCTATGAGCACCTTCGAGAGAGTGGGCCAGCATATATGATCTTGAGATTTTACGAAGTCACCATAGGTGCCTCGTAGTCGAGTGGAACGTCTCCTCCCACTGAACGTACGTCGCCGGAAAATACCGAAATTAACACAAGATAAATGCGAGCACCGGGACTTTAACCTTGGTGGGCTCGAGAAACCACTATCCTCTAACCATCCAACCACATGTTGGTTAGCACGACAAAATGTATGTGGTGACCGTGATGAGCTTATTCTGAAGTCCAGTGACCATATCGTGCTTTCGCTTCAAATACAATGACCATAAGTTTCGTCAACAAAATATGGAGCACGCATCAAATGCAAAGTCCGTCAGTGTCATCAACAAAATATGGAGACGTATCGTGAGCTAGATACCGTTGTACTATTGTATATGCTTATTTTCTTAGTGGCCGATTGCGTGTGTGGTGTGGTGGGCACATCATTTCTAGTTGTGGTGGGTCAACATGAAGGCTCATGGGTCGGTTCCATCCTGCGCCACATATAGGTTGGACCGAGACGTGTTATACGAAGACCCATGTGGAGGACTCGGCGTACAACACGAAGCTACTAGAGTCGCGGAGGACTCTATCCCCACTGGTGATAAGCCGACTATATATGATTTGTAACCCTAGGCCCTTAGTATGTTATACAAGCTTGGGGGCTAGTTCGTCGATAGTATACACACACGCACAATGCCTGGTATTCACGTGTACTTTGTACACACCCCTATCACAAATATACAGTACCAGGAGTAGGATCTTTCTTCAACTGCAATTGAATTCTAGCATGTGCATGTGTTTATTTCATATTATCGATCCATAGAGTGAGAGCGGTTTGAAATACAGGCAATGGATGCTTTTGCAATTCATATATAAACATTAATTAGTGCACTCCATGTTTTTAGTGTGAAGCACTTTATACATTTGTCACTTCATGGATACATTCCAAATTGCTAGCTACGAAATAGAATACATGTCGAATTCAACATAAAGGGGGTTTCGAAGATTCGAATTCATAGGAAGTGCATTCATCTATTTGAACCTGAGATAATGGCATTTGTAAATCAGATGTAAAAGGGGGCATCAATCTTTGTTGTGAGTTTGAACATGCTATATATATTCATACGCATATCTAACTTTTTTTTGCAACCAAGGAGATTATATCTGGAACCATGCATGAACTCAGGTAAGTTGCATATTTTTTAATATATACTCGTGTACAATGTATATTCAAATGTGCCCCCTCCATTCCAAAATAATCGCAGCTTTAGGATTTTCAAGAGTAAAGATTTGTGAAGTTTGACAAATCCTGAAAGTTCAATTCAAGAGAACCGAAAACGTTAAATGCTTCTGCTCCCAAATATTGAGGGCTCCTTTGATTCAAAGGAATTGCATAGGATTTTTTGGAGGATTTAAACCCTTAGGAATTTTTCCTGCCATGCTCGTTTGATTCGTAGGATTGGCATCCTTAGGAATTTTTCCATATGATCCATTTGTACTACATTTTGGAGGAAAATTTCCATCCACTCAAACCTCTTTGTAGAATTCCTTTGTTTTTCCTATGCTATCAAACATTCTTTCAAATCCTCTAGGATACTATGGGACATGTCGCCCTATTCCTGCATTTTTCCTATTCCTTCATTTTGACAATCTTGTGAATCAAAGATGCCCTGAACGAAGCGCCAAATAGGCCTCTGGTCACCCGAAACCGCGCGAGACTAATGTTTTGGTGGTAGGAAATTACTGTCCTAACTCTGGCCTGTGTAGCCTATCGGCCGGATGTCCAAAGGTCTAAACCGGGGTAGGTTTGTAACTTCACCAAGACGCGAGAGAAGCTCTCATAAGCCGTGGGCGCCTAGCCATGCGCTCGGCCGAAATCTATCCCGCCCACATTTGGGACACCTGACATGACTGTCCTATCCCCAACCCGCAATATGTCCGAAATTTTAGATGGGGGGAAAGTTTGTAACTTTCCCCACATTTCAAACAAGCGCGTCTCAAACCGAAACATTGTTCCCCCTTAGTTCACCGCCTCCCTCCGTTTCCCCATTCATACTCCATGGGTGCAAAAACGCCCTCTCCACCAGCCGCAAAACCCCAGCCTCCTCTGTCCTCCACCCCATAGCGGCCAATCCACCGCCACCCTCCTCCATCACGCCGGAGCCGGTACCCCGACGTCGTCGTCCAACGCAACCGCAACCGCAACCGCAACGCCCTCAAGGACTTAGCAGCTGAAGCCGAGGCAGAGCTGCCTCCACGACGCCGACGCTGATGTGCGCCGTACCAGAACCACTCCAACCACGCCGTCCTGCGCCTCACTGCTGCGGCTCCACTGTCGCAACCGTCCACCGCACCAGAGCTGTTCCCGCTACGCCGTCGTTCACCGCCTCGGATCTGCTTCGCCGCCGCCGACAGACGGCCACCACATCACACTCAACAACTTGGCCATGGGTTCGTCCAAGGATGCACCGTCCTCCACAACTTCTGGTTTCCGGCGAACAACAAGAAGATCGTCGGAAAAACAGAAGGAGGACACAGCACTGCCAGCAGAAAGAGGTACTCCTCTTCCCTTATTCGTGCAAATATTACATCTCCGCTCACACCGTATTCATCCCACGAAAGAAACTAGTTGATCGCTTCTTACTGCATCTTATTCATGATACTAAATGCACAAGGTTTCCTCCCTTTTACTATTTCACCTTTGCTAGAGGTCAGTAGCCCGCCTGGATTTCAATTCAGGGTCAGTCGAACCGCAATTAAAAGAAGCAGCACCCACTT